GATGTAGTGTCCATCCTTCCAAGACATTTAAGATGAATGTCCTCAGAGACACTATGTCTACCCTACCCCCTCCTTTCCTGCTAATCTGGGACATATACTGGCATCCTGCTCTGGCACAGGAAGTTTATTTGTTAACCTTCTCTGTGTGTGTTAAAATCTACAGTTGGGACCACCCTGATAAGTTGCATGATTCTGGACCTCCTGTGTAATTCACCTTCTGTGTTGAGTCACCAGACTTTGAGACTCCTGAAGAAGGGTCTTGATCAAAGAGCTTCACTTGGCCTTATCAACAGAGACTGGTCGCCATGACAATAAGCTAACCCCCCTCCCCCCAGTTGAAATTCTGATTCAAGAAAACCCATTTTGTTTGTATCAGCATGGTGTCACACACCCTTAACAAAGGGTCAATGTATTATCTTCTCTGAAGAACTTTGAGAAGGGAGATTTTAATTACATTAATTATACAGTGGAATACTCCTACTGTAAGAAGCCCTCTGATTGGTTAAAAGTTAAGTGGCCCGTCTTCCTGGTGCCAGGTATACTAGACACCAAGGGAGTTGCGAGACTGCAGCCGATGAGGAAAGTTGGCTTTGGATCATCAGCTGAGCTGAGCAGATGGAATGAGTGGTTGTGGAGAGTTGATGAGACTCCCTGAGAAACAACAGCCATATGATAGAAGACACGTCCAGCTGAAAAGATGGTGGACATCCTGAAAACCTCAAACACCCTGGAGCTAAATGTACGAGCCAAACAAACTGCAGCCCTGAGAAACAACATCCTTCTCGGGAAAGCGGACCACCGGCTTCCTTCATGCATCCGTTGTGTTAATGAGAGATGGACGTCTTTCTTCTGATGAGAGGACCACAAAATAGTGCCAACTAAATTTGTTTAGATAATTTAATGCATGAATCTGAGATAAACTTACATAAATTTAAACGTTAAGAGCTAGACCTTAGTCCAAATTGATTCAAAACCCCTCCTCAAAATCCTCAGATTTATGCCATTTATGTTCTAAAATAATATTATTGGTTCACATTCATATTAAATATTTGCCATAATTTTCATGTCATAATTCAAACTGAAAATAAACGTTACAGAACTGTATTTAAATTACGGATTCTTCGTGTTTTTTTCGAGGGACAGGAATTAAGTTTGCTACATGAACTCATGGATTATATATGTTTATGGTGAGGCTGGTCCAGAATAAATGCCTGTTAAAGGGCAGGAGTTTGACCGGACCAGAAGTCCAACATCCTGTACATATATTCCCCTACACTGAATTCTCAAAATGTTAATTTTGGGGACTGTATGGTTGAAATAAACAATTTAAAATGAATAGATTTGTCAGTTCAGATGGCTAGATGTCAAACCCAAGTGCAGGCACAGCTGGCCTGTGATTCTCACAAATCGTTTCCATCTTACAGTTTGGCTCGTTAATCAGCTAATTTTAAGTCCTCATAGCACAAACTAAACACAGAGTCTGAAGCTTGCCATGGCCAACACTGCTGCCGATGACTTCTTCAAGTTGATAAAACAGAGCCCCGCCGATGCCAAAAAGCAGAATCCCTGCTACCATAAATTAGTTGATCTCTGATGTACCCGGCAGTGTAAGTCTCAGCCAGGCAAGAGGGTTCTCCAGGACCCTGTCATTTTGTTGAAAAGATTTTGTCAATTTTGTAGAAAATCCAGCTTGTCAGATCCATAAAAGTGTTTTTTTGTTCGGGAGTTGTGTACCAGGAGCTCCGAAACACACAGAGAGCAGAAGCGGGGTAAGGGAAAATGGGGAGGGAGAGGACAGCGTCTGTCTTGAGTGAGAGCCAGAGGAGAATCACATCACAGGGGAGAAGCTCTGATGGGAGGCCAGAAGACCATCTTTCACTGGGGAGTGTCTCTGGCAGGTGGCCAGGAGACCGTCTATCATTGGGGACCCCAGGAGTCAGCAGAACCAGTGTAAGCAAGATCACCAGGAAGATCACGGCAGCAGGCAAAGAGATCACTGATGAGGCTTCAGCGGCAGGCAAAGATACCATAGAGAGGTTGTTGCTGCCAGTGACGTTACCTCTGGAAAGGATGTGGCTGCCAGTGAAACACTGAAGAGAGTTGCCAATGGTGAGTCAGACAAGGGATCTGCAGCTGTTGGTGGAACCAGAAGATATGCAGCAGGTGAAAGGACCAACAGCTCTGCAACAAGCAAAGGGGGGAAAAAAAAAAAACAAGCAAAGGGACCATGAGTTCTACAGAAGGTGAAGGGACCAACGGATCTGCAACAGGCAAAGGGACAAACATTTCTGAATCAGGTGAAGGGATCAGCAGCTCTGCAACAGCTGACATGACCAGAGGATCTGTAGCAGGTGTAGACACCAAGAGATCTACCGTAGAAAATGGAACTAGTAAATTTGCAGATAGTGTAGGGACCATGGGGGTTGCAGATGTTGTGGAGACCAGGAAGGCTACAGCTAATGTAGATACCAGGGAAGCTATAGCTAATGTACAGACCATGGAGGCTGCAGTTGACATAGAGACCAAGAAGTCTGCAAGTGTCATAGAGACCAAGAAGACTGCAACTGTCGTATAGACCAGGAAGGCTGCGATTGTCGTAAAGACCAGGGAGGCTGCAGCTGTTGTAAAGACCAGGGAGGCTGTAGCTGGCATGGAGACCAGGAAGGCTGTAGCTGGCGTGGAGACCAGGAAGGCTGTAGCTGGTGTGGAGAACACAGTAGGCTGCAACTGACATAGACACAACAGAGACTGCAGCTGATGATATAACCATCTGATCTGCAGTGGGCAGTGAAACAAACTTATCTGAAGTAGACATAGCTACCCCAGGGACTGTAGGAGGCATAGCTACCACAGAGACTGCAGGAAGCATAGCTACTTCAGGGACTGCAAGAGGTGTAGTTGCTTTAGGGACTGCAGGAAGGGAAACCATAGGAGGCATGGGGCCCATAGGTAGCATGGAACCCACAGGAGACTCTGGAACCAAAGGAGACTCGGTAACTACAAGGGACTCAGGAATCACAGGAGACTCAGGAACCACAGGAAACTCAAAAACCACAGGAGACATGGAAATCACAGGAGACTCAGAACCCAGAGACACTCAGGACCCACAAGACACTCAGGACCCACAGGAGGTGAAGAGGAAGAGTGAGAGGCATCTTCCAGGACCCTCTCAGATGGGGACTGAGAGGCGTCCCCCCGGACTCTCTCAGAAAAAGAGTGAGAGGTGCCCTCTGGGATTTTCTCGGAGACACAAGGAGTAGGTGGGTCATCACTGCTGATAGCCATGGAAACAGGGGTAGGTGGGGGATCATGGCAGACCCCCCACAGAGACACTGGGAAGTGGGGCATCATGGCCAAACCCCACGGAGACACAGGGAGGTGAGGCACTGTGACTGAATCCCACAGAGATACAAGGAGGTGAGGTGTAGTGGCCTCCCCCCACAGAGACACTGGAAGGTGGGACATCATGGCAGACCCCCACGGAGACACTAGAAGGTGGGACATCATGACCGACCCCCACAGAGACACTACGAGGTAAGGCATCATGACCGACTCTCACGGAGGCACTGGAAGGTGAGTTCATCAACTGAGTCAGGTTCAGTTGTTTCGTCGACAGAGTCAGTCTCTGCTGCTTCATTGGCAAAGTTGTGCTTGGCTGCTTCGTCTCTAGAGTTGCGCTCGGCTGCTTTGTCAGCAAAATCGGGCTCAGCTGCTTCGTCAGCAGATTAGGGCTCAGCTGCTTCGTCAGCAGCTCAGAAACCACTAGAGGTAACCGAGGAAACACTGGCACAGGAGATACTGGTGGACTGGTTTGGCTGAAATCAAGGAAGACAGGCTACCGAAAATAGGCGTTCAGAGCACATTGCTCCTCCAGTGCCTCCTCAAGAAGCTCCAGCATCCCAGGGGAATCCATTAGTCCATGTAGCCCCGAGAACTCATCCAGAAAATCTTTTGTGGCCACCCACCTGGTTTGGGCATTCTATCACGTTCAGATGGTTAGAGGTTGAACCCAAGTGCAGACAGACCACGGAGACTCGAAGAATTATATAACAAGAAATTATTATCAAAACAAAAGGCTGAGGGGGCAGCAAACCTACATGACAATGAAGGCACGGAGGGAAGATGGAACATGGGAATATGGAACAGGGAAATGTCCAGACCGTGAGGAACAGAGATGCTAACTTAAATAGGGACATTAATGACAAACATATGACAACGCCTGGGAAGGACAACGGGTGACGGAGGTAAGAGCTGATTACACGAGGGAGAATAACTGAGGAGCAAGAACGAACACAAGAGGGAAACAACACACTAGAAGACACAGATCATCACAAGATCATTCTTCATGTGTATAATTTATCAGATATAAATATGTTCCATAAATGTCCTGGCTCAGAGGCCCCAGCTTTTCACCTGTCTTGTAGCACATATTTGTAGGAATTTGACTACTTCTGAGTTATCTGTTACTGTACCTGTATCATTCTTGGCATTTGTGAATACATTTAAAGCTCCTTATGTTGCTCACAAATGTTCTGTATTGACATGTTTTTGACATGTCTTGCTCAGAGTGATTGTGTTTTCAGGCATCTCTAATAAAAAAAAAAATGCATATACATGCATATTGAACATTAATATCAAACCTAAATGCACTGCTCATGTTTCCTCTAAGGGTGGCTGTGGCTGAGTGGTTGGAGCAGTCATCCTCCAATGCAAGAGTTGGGGGTTCAAATCCACCAGCAGTCACATGCCAAAGTGTCCCTGGGCAAGACACTGAACCCCTCTTATCCTCTGATGTGTGTCCCATCAGTGTATGCATGTGATAAAGCTCTGATTAGTCTCTTTAGAATGATTTGTTCAATTAGCTTTGTATCGATCTAGTAGAGTGCTGTATGAATGGGTAAATGAGGACACAGATTGTAGTGTGAAGCGCTTTGAATATCTTGAAATAAGATAGAAAGGTGCTATATACATGTAAGGACAGTCCATTTACTCTCTTCCAGTTCACTACCAGCTCTCACCAACTGTGAACATGCCACAAGATGACATTGTGATGATTGAAGACGACAGGCCACCCCTGCTTCCTGCCCACCTGTCTGACCAGTCGTCCTCCAGTTCCCATGATGATATGGGCTTTGTAGGAGAAAACCCTGCACCATGGATGCAAGACATCCCTGTTCACAATGAATGGTAGGAAGTAGCTTGTTCTTCCTTTACGGTTGAACTGGCTGAATTTGTTTATAACTCTTTGGACTTCAGATAACCTCTGTGTGGAAGGACAGTGCTAATAAGAATGCAAGGTTCACCAGGCTATTGAATATCCTTATTTGCAAAATCTAAACTGCTTTCTTCCAAACCAAAATAATTAAATATTGTTTAAAAATAAAACATTTTGAAGATTATTTTATTCATAGGCTACATTTAGATGTCAGCACACATCAAGTTTTATAGCATTTTATTTCCGATTTGTGTGTGTGTGCCTTACAAAACGTACCTCCTGTGTGTTTGTTAAATTATGGATCAGTAGTGGAAGTCAGACTGTGAGTAAAGACTCTCAGGGACTTGTTCAGTACTTCCACCGCCTCAGCCTCAACCACCCGTGGGATTTCAGTGTCCCGCTAAGTGTGCAGACCACAGCCCGACTGCAGCACCCCCATAATAAAATGAAGACAAGGCTCATCAACCTTGTCAGGACACTATATCACAGGGGGACTCAAACGATTAAGCAGAGGAATCCCTCAACCCCAATGTTAAAAAAGCAGGATTTTATTTTTAATTCAGCATGCCTGAGTCAGATTTTCCTTCTTTTCTGTACATTTTGAAAGTATAAAACACACACACAGCACAACTGGTATCAGTTCAATGCTTCCAGTTATATGGGCAGTTTTAGTATTATTAATATTATTAAAATTATGTTTGCATTTTATTAGAAAGTCCTGTGCATTAGAATCCTTAAAATCCATTACCTATTATTACTTACAACTGTTGATTTGCTAGTCCTTCAATGGTGTTAGTAAATGTACAAAAAATAAAAATCAGCATCAATGTGCAACTCAGTCAGGTGTTGTAGTTAGTAGTAGTTGCAGTAAGTAAGATGTTGGGGGAAGAATCAGTTTTGTGTTGTGTGTTTCCTTGATTGATGAAGCCTTCCAGATTAAAGGCGAAACGTTTCAGCACAAAAAAAGAAACTGTCCAAATGACCTGACTGAAAATTTTGGATCTTTGAAAGAAACATACCGTATTTTCCGGATTATACGTCACTCCGGAGTACAGGTCTTATCAGCGTATCAGTCAAAATATTCCTCATGAAGAGGAAAAACACATAAGTCACTTCGGAGTATAAATCGCATTTATTTAGAAATGTAATTTAGAAAGTGTAACAGACATTTAATCTGAAATAGAGTGTAACAATAACATACACGGGATCCTGAACTGTCTTAATTAACATGACAAGCCAACGAGTCCGACAAGCAAGTTACCCCTTGGTGTCGCTTCCTAACAACTCTGCCAACTCTGGAGGAAGATGGGGCGGTGGGGTGGGGGGTGTTTAGCAGAAGAGGAACAACATATAGTTGTCAAAAGCCTAAAGGGCCCTCGCGCAGCTGCAAATGATAATATTTACTCTTTGGTTCATGAAATGAATGAACATTTAACGTGTCAGTCAAAAATTGCGTCAAGAATAGGGAAAATATAAGTTGCTTTGGACTCTACATCGCAGGACTTGCCAAACTGAAAAAAAGTGTGACTTAAGGTCCGGAAAATACAGTAACTTAAAGTTGAAACAGTACACAAAGAATTGGACTTTTCATGAGTAAAGTGTAAAGTGCTGTGTGTTGTCATCATTGTATATTGATTACATTATTGTTGATGATATCATTGTATGTTTCCATACAATGGCAAAATTAGTTCTCTGCATTTAACCCATCACAAGTGAGATACACCCAGGTGGAGCAGTGGGCTATGTAAGTGCCTGGGGAGCAATTAGGAATTAGGTGTTTTGCTCAGGGACACCATGACATGTGGGCATAGTGGGGAGTCGAGCCGCAACTTTCTGGTCCAAGGTCGGCTGCCCTACCTGGTATGGTATATATAGTTTATTCATTTAAAAAAAAAGTACAAAACAATTCCATAACAATATAAAAAAGATACAAAAGATTTAAAATGAAAGGCAGCAGAAAGAAGAAAAAATCTTATATCTGCCCCTTTTTCAAACAATTATTTCAGACATAATAATCTTCAAGTAACAGTACAAAATGAATAGCTTTCTAATTTTTCTAACTCTAATACAAAACACACACTAAGCTACTTCATATATACTTTTTTAACAATTCAGTTTTGATCTTTTTCTTAAATGTACACATTGACTTGACATTTTTAACATCACTCTCTAGACCATTCCACAATCCAACTCCTTGGATTGAGGTAGACCTTCCCTTCAGACTAGTTCTGAATTTTGGTTTGACAAATATCTCTATCCCCTTAAGATTATAACAACTTTGTCTTTTAACAAAATTTCTTTGGATATTTAATGGTAATGTGTTATTTTGAGCCCTATACATAACTGATAAAATACTATAATCTACCAAATCATGGAAGTTCAATAACTTCAGTTGATAAAATAATATGCTTGATGGGTGATGCTTGACCTCTACTCCATCTCAACCCCATATGACTGAACTCATATTTTAAAAAATGTTTTATAGGTTTTACACAATCACAGTCTTAATTTTAGGGTTTTTCAAATATATATATATATATATATATATATAAATATAAATATATATATAAAAAAATATATATATAAATATATATGATGGAATCACAGAAGCATTTGAACAAAGTTGACTCTAAAGTGTAGTTAGTTTAGTTTATTGTTTATTTGTCATATGCAGGTCAACACAAGGTCAACAATGCAATGAAATGGTCAGGACAAGAAGAACCATCTCATCTCACCAAAACAACTACAATAAATACCAAAGCAGGAAGCAAAAATACAAAAACAAGGCACAAAAATGAAAAAGAAATACATAATCTACAAGGTCCAAAATAAATAAAGTAAACAACATGGTAGAATACGATGGTGCAAATAGGTTGAATCAGTGCAAGCAAGTACCTCACAGAATACCTGTTTTCTACAGACAACATTATACAGCAATAAAAAACAACTGAAATGAAAATAGTGTTCTAAAAATACTGTTACTGTTAGCAGCATGGTCATATTAGCAGAGCGATTATGTTGGCAGTGAAGTTATCTTGGCAACATGGTCCCATTAGCACCATGGTGCTGTTAGCAGTGTGGTTCGGTTAGAGGCATGGTCTTGTTAAAAGCACAGTCCCATTGGCAGCATGATGATAATAACGACCACGGCAACGGATGATGACTACCCTCCAGAACCGGGTCTGGCAGTCACAGAACATCCAAAGTTCCCTGTGGAACTGAAATGTTCCATATAGTTCTGTCCGGGCAGGCAGATGGAGGATCATGGAGACGGCCACCATGACAAGCTGGAGCCCGAGTCTGAGGTGGGAAGGGGGCTGGGAACTGAGCCACAATGGCACGATGGCAAGGCAGCGACACACAAAACCACAAAAGTGCATCACAGTCATGCCCGTAGCGTGGGTGTGCAGTGGAGGAGCAAAAAAAGATTAAACAAAAATGACAGGAACAATTTTTTTTTTATTCGATTCAGTTTATTTAAACTGAATGGGGGAGGCTGTGTCTCAGGGGGTGGCTGTGGCTGAGTGGTTAGAGTAGTCGTCCTCCAATGCAATAGTGGGTGTTCGATCCCACCAGCAGTCACATGCTGAAGTGTCCCTGGGCAAGACACTGAACCCCTCATTGCCTCCGATGTGTCCCATCGGTGTATAAATGTGATAAAGCTCTGATTAGTGTCTTTAGAATGATTTGTTCAATTAGCTTTGTATAAATAGAGTAAAGTGATGTATGGATTGGTAAATGAGGGCATAGATTGGAGTGTAAAGCTCTTTGAGTATCTTGATAAGATAGAAAGGTGCTATATAAGCACAGACCATTTAAATAGCACCAAATCACAACATAAGACGTCTCAGGGCACTGTACAGAAACATTCACATATAGACAAAAGCCAATTAGTAAAGTTCTCTAGCTAAGGAAGTAGCAGACTCGTTTAATCTTCATTTCGTCAAAGTCTCCCATCCTGAACAAGCACAAAGGCAATAGTGGAAAGGAAAAACTCCCTTTTAACCCCTTTTTGCTTTTGGAAACTCTAGGAACCTCAAGTTTTTATTAATTCAACTTTTATGTATACAGGCTAGCCTCATTGAGCCATGGGGACTCATTTGCAAGAGGGACCTGTTCCAGACAGAACATATAAAGTACAGACAACAAAACCATAGACAATGACAACAAAAAACTACAGTAAAAAAATGCAGTTAAACTAAGAGTAGTGTATAAAACAATAAATAAGGGTGCCATAAAACAGGGTGAAATACTATTGACATTATTGACATTATCAAATGTTTGAAACCCCTTAAAGAAATCAAGGTGGACAACTTCAGTTTCTGTTGCAAATTTTTCCAGGTTACAGGACCTGAGTAGGAAACGGCCTTTTTTCCAAGTTCAGTCCGCACTGAGGGAACGCTGCAGGTAATGATGGTCTGAGAGTGCACGTTGTAACTGCACTGACAATGTGACATGTGGGAGGAGATGTAAGAAGGTAGCAGACCAAGGAGGGATTTATAGATGAAAATGAACAAGTGTGAGAGCCTATGTGTAGAAAATGATGACCAACTGACCAATGAGTACAGGGTGCAGTGATGGGTACGGTAGTTACAACCAGTTATGAATCTTAGCACGCCATGGTAGACAGCAAGGAACATCTGCAAGCAGCTGGCAGAGGCATTCATGTAAATAATGTCACCATAGTCAATGGCCGGTAGGAAGGTAGCAGTTACAAGGCATTTTCTGGCATTCAGAGCAAGATCTATTTCTGAATAAGAAACACAGTTTTAATTTTAGTTTCTTATCAAGTTTTCGATATGTGGCTTAAAAGAGAAATGTGCATTGACCAAAATTTCCAAGTATTTGTAAGCATCTACAAACTCAATAGGAACACCATGCATGGATGAAATAGGAGGAAGAGTTGCTGGCACCGACTTTCTGTTGGAAAGCAACATCCCTTTGGTTTTGTCGGCATTTAGCACTAGCTTGA